TGGTTTTGAGAAGTTGGAAAGAAGAGAAATAGGACGGAAGTCGCTCTGTGAGGAAGGGTTAGATGTTTTACTCAATGGTCGGACGAGTGCAGTTTTCCAGGAAGAGGGAAATGTGGAATTTTGCAATGAGAAGTTGTAGATATGATAAAGTACTGGAATAAGGGTAGGAAGGCTGGATTTTATTAGTTTTACTGGAATATTGTCAGGACCATAATCATTGGTGTGGGATTTGAGGATAGTGGAAAGTACTTCGTCGTATGACACATGGGAAAAAAAAGAAGTTTTCAGGATTGATATTATGGTGTTCAATATCATGAGTAGGAGAAGGATTAGAAGCAAAAGATAAAAAATGGTCATTAAGACCATCACAGGTGGAGTCACAGGGAGGGAAATGAGGTTATTGGAATATGGTAGGGATAGATTACGAAGTATTTTCCATTTTGATTTGGGATCGGGAGCATTGGAAAGGGCATTATGAAAGTAGTTGGATTTAGCAAGTCGGATAGTGGATTGGGTTGCATTACGGAGTTGTTTGAAAGACGCATAATCAGCAGGTAAGCGGGTTTGACGGTATTTGCGCCTTGCTGCATTCCTTCTCTTTATCATTCCCTTTATTTCAGGAGTCAGCCAAGGAGCAGTGGGACGACGTAAGATTCTGGTTTTCAGAGGAGCATGGATGTCTAATATGGATTGTAGGTTTGAGGTAAGGGTGGATATCATAGGGTCAATGGATGTATAGGAAAATATGGTATCCCATTGGGCAGAATCCAGGTCAGGTTGAAGGGATTCATATGAAAGGAGGTTTAGGTTGCGATATGATACTATTTTGGGAGTAAATGATTTCACGGATAGGTCGTACGAGATTTGGATCAGGTCGTGTGATGATAGAAAGGGTACAGGGTGTTGAGAGGAGGAAAGGATTTTAAGCGGTGAGTCAGAGATATGGAGGTCTAACCAGGTGTCAGAGAACTAAGTGTGATGAGTGGGAGAATAAGGGACTAAGGGAAGATAAAGATTGAGAGAAAATATTAGGTCATTGAGGTAGTATTTGTCGGGAGATTCTGAGAGCATATTTACATTAAAATCGCCGGAGATGATGATATTGGAGTAGGAGGAAACCAGGTTGACAAGGGAGGATTCAAAGAGTTGCTCAAATAGAACACGAGGAGGGCGGTAGACAACAACATACAATAGAGGAGAGGAAATAGCGGTAATTTCAACAAATAAATATTCAACGTGAGGGAGGTTATGAAAAGGAGACTGTAAGAGGATTTTGGCCTTGGGACTATTATGTATATATAGTCCGACACCACCTCCCGTGCGATCAGGTCTGTCATGACGTAGGTAAGAGTAATTGGGGAGAGAAATTTGGGAGGAAGGAATAAAAGGTTTCAGCCAGGTTTCAGATACTGCTATACTGTGGTAAAAATTATCGAGGAAATATTTTTGGAATTCATCAAAGTGGGCATTAAGGGATTGTGCATTGACGTGACAGGAATTTAGGATATTAGTCATAACTGAGATGTTGAGAAGGAGAGTTGCGGGGAAAAGGATCGAGGAAGTAGAGTAGGGTATAACAGTTTTTCAACAAAATATTCATTTTTGCAACAGAAAAGAAAATATAAGCATAAAATAAACTTGGAAAAGTAAGAGTTAAAATCATATGGACTCGAATAGAAATAAATATAAAGAACTAATTTATGATGTGAAAAAATATAAAGATGGCTTTGGTTACAATAAATTATAAAGAAAAAACATTCAGTCAAATGAAATTCCAGCTCTTTAAAACGATAATGAAGAAGGTAACTTACAAAAATTAAAATTAAAATATTTTTGATAGGAAAGACTAAAATTGATACAAACTATGGAAGACTTACATACAAAATTCATATAAAAACGTCCAGCTTTCCTACCCTATAACTACCGCCGGACATCCATCTGACTGTCTGCATCGAATTTTGCCACCACTGAACCACAGGTATTTTATCTTTGCCGTCATCTTTTTTTGTCTGGCTAACCAGTATAGATGTTTATTGGCGGGGGTCATTGCTTCGCTCACGTAAACCCGGTGTGAATCGTTGTCCCCCCAGCCCAGATGGCGTGTAGAGAAGTCTCTTTTCGTTCTTCTCTGCTGCAGCAGTTCATCTCTTGTTGTTTGCCTGATGATAGGAACATCAGGAATAGCAATGATAGGGCCTGGAGTCCCTTCCTGCTTTGGTTTGAGCCTCACTACGTGATCCAGATCGTCTGGACTTAACTTGATGCCCAGACCCGCTCCGACGCTAAGGATGGTTCCAGTCACAGTCTCACCCGGCTTTTCTGGAATTCGTCGGATTTCGACTGTATTTTTTAACTGATATTGCTCAGTATAATTTAACCGAATTTCCAGCTCCGATATTTTTTTCTTTAAGGTGGTGTTTTCGATAGACAATTTTTCAACGTGTTTTTTCTGTTCTTCCAGCAGGGTTTCTATCTTTAACAGCTTTTCCATATTTTCAAAAGACAGTTCCGACTGTTTGTAGAGGCAGTCTTTTATTTCCTTTAACTCATCGATGCCCTGAAGCTTGGTCATCATATACTTACTTTTGTTTTTAAAAAAACAACATTTAAAATTGTAATTAAATAAAATTTTAAAATCATTTAATTAGAATTAACGAGTAGCATTTCGAACACAGCATCTAGAATAGTACTTCAATTGCGATAAGCGCTGTGAAATCACACTTCTTATCAATGCTCTCCAACAGTGACAGTCACTGTAGGCGCGTGGAATCACTGCATGCCAACAATGACGATCACTGTGCTGCAACAGTGACGGTCACTGTAGGCGCTGTGAAATCACTGTACGCCAACAATGACGATCACAGTCCTCCCAACAGTGATGGTCACTGTAGGCCCGTGAAATCACAACTCTGATCACTCCGCTATATCACTACTTTTTGCTTCAGCGATTTGGGCATTGTTGACGTCATTTATTTAATAAATGAATTAAAGGAATAATCATGAAATAATTATTTCTAACATAATAGTCATTCGTCAAATTTCATAAAAAATACTTTTTGAACTTTGATGAATTGAACATTCATTGTCATATATTTCTGAATGAGTCATGTCTGAAATAATTAACGGCAAGCTTTTCATTTAACTGTTGAAATATAAATAAGAAATTAATTAAAAATTAAATAAATTCAAATATTCTCTGCAGGGCTGTATACATAAACCATGGGATCCCAGATATATTTCACCCTGTCAAATATAAAATTTATCACTGGAATTTTTTTTTTGTTTTAATATAATTTTAAACACATAAACTATGATTTCACAGTGACGATTTCGCCAAGGAGCCATTAAAAGGCAAAATCACTGTGATTTGTCACAGTGATTTTGCTGGAGCAGTGACAGAAAATCTCTGTCACACCCCATCACTAGTTGGATCCAGAATATTCTGGATTCACAATTGGTGTGACCGGCCCATCCTCCTCAAAAGGTACTCTCCAAAGGAGGGTTGGATCCAGGTTATTCTGGATTTACGAGTGGTGATTCCAGCCCATCCTCCTCAAAAGATATCTCCCAAGGAGGTTAGGTCCAGATTATTCTGGATTTAAATTGGTGAGGGTGGCCCATCCTCAGCACCTAAAAAAAAGTAGAAAACAGGAAATAAATGATTTGGAACATCTCACCATTGCTGTTAGTGACCCATTGGTATCAGTTTTTTTTGTTAAGTAGATTTATTTTTAAATCCTATCATAGGTTAAATATCAAAATTATGAGTTTTTTTTTTTTTTAAGAATGAAAAGTTTCACAGAAACAGAAAGAGATTCAACAGGAACAGAAAATGAAGAATCTGCGCATGGAAGATTAGTGAGCCAGAGATTGATGGAATTTAATAACAGTAAAAGGCTTATTTAAAAAAAAAAATAGATGATTTATTTTATGAAGCATTTTGGGAAGAAAATTTAATATAAATAAAATAAAATTTATTAAATAATCTCACTATTATTTATTATTTTTCCCATCAACACCAATAGTAATTCTATTCCTAATTTTAAGAAAATTTTAGATAGTAAACCTTATGTTTCCATTTTTATAGATAAACTTTATTAACTAGTTTAAAAAATTAATAAAATAAAAACATACAACCGAGGAGATCGGATAACAGAAAGAAAGTGTTTAAATTTATTTATAACTAGCTAAAAAATCATAGAAAAGTCTCTTATTAATTACAAAATCATTTATTAGATATTTTGCTTAAAATAATTATTCAGTTCCTCCCTTATGATTTTGACTGCTATTGAAGGATTATATCCCATCTGTGGAGATAAACCAGTCAGTATTGATTCCAAATTATCTAGAAACATTAAACATACAGATGAATAAAAATATTTATAAGTACCTGTCTCATTGTATTGCAAGTGTGTTCCTGTATCCAACTAATATCTGGCTAATATACAACTAATGACTAATATCCAAGAGGTCAGGAAGAGGAAAGCTAATAATATTTATTTCCAAATCTGCAACTCCATAGTGGATAAAAGGGAAGTTGGAAGGGATGTTAAATTACGTATATATAAAGCAGCGTACCTTCCCAACTTTATCCTATGGTAGTGAAAGCTGGGTAACAATAGACAGACATAAAAATAAAAATAATTCACAAAAATAAAAATTTTTGATTCTGTAAAAGAATGGTTTTAAGTGGAAGAAAAAAAAAATGAATCTAAATAATTTATTTTCTAATTCAGTAATTTGATATCACAAATAATATAAATCTATGATTTTTTTAAAGATGTAAAGTCATGGTACAATAAACATAACTTAATATACATATGTACATATATATATATATATATATATATATATATATATATATATATATATATATATATATATCATAAATGACAGTGTATTAACAAATAACACTATAACCAACAACATAAAGATAATTCATAAGTAACATAGTATTCATAAGAATAAATTAAATAAAGCTTACAAATGCAAATTTAGTACTTAAATCATCAATGTCAATTATACTTGCATCAGAAATATTGAAAATTGTACTGAAAATAGTTATCCATTACAAATCAATTAAATGAGAAATTATTTAAACGTAAATTACGTAAAAAAAAATCTCGAACCAATTATATTAATTTTAAATAAATCAACCATATTATCATCAATTGTACCATAAATTTATTATTTATTATTTGAATTGGCTTGAAGAATTAACGGATTCGATAATCGAAAAATACAAGGTAACATACTGGCCAGTGAATTAAATATTTCTTCATTAAGACCCTGAAAAAATAAAACATAATGAAAGTTATGTTAGAAAAGTTAAGAACTAAGAACATTGTAATAAACAAATATTTACATTTATTAATACACAATAGTTACTTTTTTCATTTGTTATCTATTGGAATTTAAATTGTGTAACAATCATCAAACCTGTTTCATCTTTAACTTCCACAATCATGTAACAATTTTTAGATTTTATAATTACAATTGCCTATTAACAGTTAATTGACAACTGCTAATTTATATATATTTTTTTATTGCTAACATGCCTTTTGGCCAGGGTGAAATTTTATTATTATTGCACTATGATTTTATCTTTGAACTGATAACTATGTATTATTATCATTTTTGTATTTAATTTTAAATAATTTTGTTGGTAAGGATAAATTGTTTGGGATTACAAACTGCTCTGATAAATATGTAGTAATAAAATGGACTGTATTGAAATATGAAATGAAAAAATATTTTACTATTCTGGGACTGTTGTCCCTTTAGAACAAATCATAAGTACAGATTGTATGTCTGTGTGGTTACAATAAGAGTCGACTAAAAATAAAAATACTGAAGAAGAGAAAGAAAAGAACAAGAAAATTGTACATTATATATATATATATATATATATATATATATATATATATATATATATATATATATATAAAACTAAATTAACCTAAATAAATTGAGGTAGTCTCTGGGGGTGCTTAGATATTTCTCTTAGGTATATTTTGCAATCAGTCGGATTGAGAAAGGACTAGGTGTTTAAAGAGGAGAGGTTTGAAAGAGGAAACTGATTGAGCGTGTCGAATATCAGCAGGGATGGAATTCCAGAGGGAGGTGGCTTGTATTGCAAAGGATTTGTCAAACGCAGCAGTTTGGTGAGGAGGAGGATAGAGGTCAGAAGTACGCGATCTAGTGGGATGGGATTGGAAGGAGTTTTTGAATTGTAAGCTGTGAAAAATATAGGAGGGTCGATGAGTTCTAATGATCTGGTACAGAAAGGTGGCTAGGAAGTACTGACAGCGATAGGATGGGTAGAGCAACCTCAACTCGGTGTAATACTGGATAATATGCGTATCCCTTCAGATTCCGAAAATAAATAGTAGTGCACAATTCATTAGGCGTTTAAGTTTGGCCTCGAAATAAGGAAAACAAGGGAAGAAACTAGGAGTTGACGGGACTTATATGGAAGGAGATATTGTAGACGATTGAACTGTTTTAGGGTGGTGATAGAGCAACGGTAAATTTGGGAGATGTGTGGTTTCCAGGATAGGGTTTGATGAAAAGTAACACCTAGGTTTTTAACGGTGGTGTGGAATAAGATAGGTGAATTGTTTAGGAGGAGATTGGGAGAAACCGGGTAGGATTTGAGAAGTGAGGAGGATCCGATCAAGATGGCTTTTCTCTTCTCGGCATTCAGAGTGAGCCTGATGAGGTTTGCCCAAGCACTTACTCTGTTAATGTCTTCCTGGAGTTTTAGAATGGCATCTGAGAAATCGGTTGGATTGAAGGAGAGGTAAATTTGAATGTCGTCGTCATACAGGTGGTATTGACAGTGCAGGATAGAGGATGGGAGGTCATTTATAAAGATGGAGAAAAGGGTGGGAGAAAAGGAAGAGCCTTGTAGGACGCCTCTTCCTTTATCCAAGAGTTTTAATATGGTGTAAAAATCTTATTGATCTATTAGATGAGACATCATAAAACAACATTGAGTACTGCCTTTGACTCTAAAATTATCAAAAGCTGAAACGCCTATAATGAATCAGGTCCCTAATTTAAGTTGGTTAAGTTGATTCTATCAATCCATCTGGTTTTTGGCCTCTTGTCACTTATCAAGGCATTTGTTGTTGTGTAGAAGCTTATTGATATATTGCTTCAAGCAAAAGGTCCCATCCATCTTAAGCTCTTTGCCTTCATATCATAAGATATTGACTGACCACTTTTTGTAATCAGTTCCTTCTCCTCCATGTGTCAGTATTCTGAGCGCAATCGTTCCAATTTAAGTGCGAATAATTTGCCTCTCAAATCCTAAAATACTTCTTTCTAGGGTGCTGATTAGTGTCCAGGTCACGTAGCCATATATTAGAACTGGCTTAATCATACATTGTATAACCTTAATTGGAAATTTCTAGAGATTTATCGGTACTTTGATATCTTTGAAAGAGAGAAAAAAATCTCTGTTTGAGGGCTTGTTATACGCTGGTCTATTACTGATTGGTCATTTATTGAGGTTATTGTGAATCCAGACCAAGTCGGCTACTCGGCAAATGCCATGTGCTCCCGAGCCAGGGGGGCCATCGGAGGTTGTCCAAAATCATTGTTTTATATTCTTTTGTAGACCAAAAGTAATTATTTTGTATTCATTTATTTCCGCATCGTTCTGGGGCCCCCAACATAATAAATGTTTTGAACTTTTTATAGCCATAGAATGATTGGAGGCTCTATCTGAGGGCCCCAAACATCGTTATTTTGTAATTTTCTAATACCATTATATGTTTGGCCACAAAAATAATGGTTTTAAATTAATTTATTTCTGCATATTTCTTCGGCGGAGCCTCCCTATATTGTTTGGCGAAGCCCCCTTTGAGGGACCCCAACATAAATGTTTTGTACTTTTTATAGCTATAGAATGATTGGGGGCCCCTCTGAGGTCCCTGAACATCATTATATTATAATTTTCTACTACTGTTGTATGTATGGCCATGTTTAGGCAACTTTCGATTTTAATAAAAAAAAGGGCAAATAACTCTAATGAGAACTTAACTTAGGCAAGATTCATCATTATTTTGGCAGTGGACTGTATTTTTATTGAACGTGGTAGGTTATATGATATATGTAAAGTAAAACCCACGATTTTATGCTGGCATAGATATCTTACTTAACTATAAGGGTGCCCTCCAGTCTGGTCTGGTCCTCAAGCAAAAGCTTGGCCTCAAGTGGGTGAGAGAGACTAATAGATTAAGCAGCTAAACTCTTATCAGATACTTCCAAAACTCAATGCAAGGCATAAATAAATGTTTTGTACATTTTTATAGCTGTGAAATGATTGAGACCCCTCTGACAGCACAAAATCATAATTTTATATTTTTCTACTACCCCAAAAATAATTGCTTTGTATTAATTAATTTCTGCAATTGTTTGGGGCACCATAAATGTTCAGAATTTTTTTATAGCCATAGAATGATTGGGGCTCTCCTCTGAGGGCCTGAAGATCATCGTTTGCTATTTTTCTCATACCCTGAAAATAATTATTTATTCAGTATTCGTTAATTTCTGTAATTCTGTATAGGTCCACAACATAAATGTTTTGTATATTTATATTGCCGTAGAATGACAGGGAGCTCCTTCTAGAGTCTGTAAATTTATTATAGGTTTAAATCCCTGGAAACCACTTATATATAGGTAGGTATTTTTTTTTAATCTATATTAACTTGTAGGCTGATGAGATGAGATATATGATTTATAAAGTTGTTAGTAAACTAACTATAAAATGAAAGATCTTTTTGAGGCATGAGTAAAATATGGTTGTTAATATTTTTAAAAAAACACAGAAGTTTTTAAAAATTTATAATGCATTATTAAAAAAAAAAAAGCAAGTGATAAGTTCAAAGAAAATAATTGTAATTGTTATCAAAAATTTTTCACCTACCTTAGGTAACAGCAACTGTAAATTTTTCAATTCTGAGCCACCCCAACTTGCCATTTCAATCATAAATCCTTTAATACATTTGTAAATCAATTCAGCTCTTCTTGTATACCATGCTGGAGTCATATCCTATGACAGATGAAACTTTTTAAATAAACAAGTAATATATTGGAAGGAAAAAAATAATAATGAAATAAAATTTGGTCTACAAAAATATTGGGCCATTTGGCGTGATCTCCACCCCTAATATGTCAGAATGACAAGGTTATGAAAATCTATGAATATCCAACTGATTTTCATGTTATTGGTTAATAAAGATGAGTATAATCAAATGGTCATAACGGCCTACAAATTTCATGAGCCGATTCTTCAGACCTATGCCTTAAACATACCAATTTTATAAGGTGTACTTTACTAATTAACATCTGTTTATTTTATTTTTTTTTTTTTTGTTTCACAATGAAACAGAACTGGTTGATATGTGTGATCTACAACTTTAATAGACCATTTTTGAAAAAATTCTACTTACATATCACAGTAAATTTAGGAAGTAGCTCAAATATAAAAAATAAAATTGTTTATGATCCTTACCTGTAATAACTCAAAGAACTTATTTTGTTTTTCAGTTTTTAGTGGATATTTAAACAAATATGAGGTTTGATGCTTTAATATTAATATTACTAAACCATCGAATTCCTCTCGTATCCAATCCTTACAATCCAAAATCCTTCGTAAAATCCTCAATGCTCCCTACTTTGTTACAAATAAAACCATTCATAATGATCTTAATGTTTCTTTGTTTCAGATCTGGCCCAATCCAGATACCTATCCTTCTATAATAAACTTCAGAATCATCCCAACCTTCTCGTTTCTAACCTTGCTTCCTCTTCAATTCCTGATAACCCTCCGAGGCGTCTGAAAAAAAGATGGCCCCGTGATCTCCTAATGTAGACATATAGAGTGCTACCATTGGGTAGTTACTCAGCAAGTGTTTTCATGTCATTATATCCATATGCTCAAATTTACTAGATGCATTTATTTAATACAGTTGTAAATATCATTAAGAAATAATAAAAAAAAATATATATATTAATATTATCATCAATATTATTCTATACAAAATTAAAGTAATTTAGAATTTACATAAAAATTAGTCAATACATTTTCATAATAAAATCAATGATTACAGAGATATCAAAGGGGCAAAATTAATAGAATTACACTTTCAGTGAAAATTGCTTCAAACATCATGAAATCACGATTTTCAAGAGACATCCAATTCGAGGTTGAATTGGTTTTATTAACATTTCCGAACATTTAAAAAACAAATTATGATAAAATTCTAATTTTTTAATGATTCTGATAACTAGAGACTTGATCTTCGTGCAGTAAAAATCCGAACTGTGCAGAAAAAACTAAAAGCTAAAAGCTCAAAATGTGCCAAAATCATCTATTTTGTTTAAATTATAATATAATACATTGAAATCCTATCAAACCTTATGTTAAGCTTCTAAATACAATATTGGGAATACAATGTCATCATACCCATTTACAAGAAAGGGGCCTAGGACGAATGCTCAAACTATCGTCCTATATGCCTCTCACCAGTGCTCTACAAGCTTCATACGACTGTCCTGGAAGCAAGATTAAGGCCCTTAGGCGAACATCTTATTGAGGAAGAGCAAGGAGGGTTTAGACCATGACGGCATACTCAGGATCATATATTTTCCACCAGAAATGTTCTACAGAAATCTTGGGATAGGGATAAAAACATGTACTTAGCTTTCCTTGACCTAAAAGCAGCATTTGACACGGTTCCCAGGCATGAAATATGGGAGGCTCTTAGAGCTAAAAACGTCCCAAGGAACTTAGTGGAGACTGTAAAGTCCATTTATCAAAACCGTAAAGGGAATTGTTAGGCTGAACGGGTTGGAGTCCAGTTGCTTTGGCCTGGCAAGGGGCATCAAACAAGGAGACAGTTTGAGCCCATTACTATTTATAATTTATATGGATGAGGTGGCGGCCATCTGTAAAAGAAGATCAGAAAGGACGTTACGGGGGAGAAGAAACATACGTCTGGTGGTAATGCACCTTCTGCTATGTGCCGATGATGTCCTTGTAGCTGATTCGGCTGACAAGTTGCAGCAGATAGTAAATGAATGGTATGAGGAACTCTACCTGAAAGAAATGCAGATCAATACCAGCAAAAGTAAGGTACTGCAAGTAGGAAGCTAAAATGAAGATACGCATGTACACTGCAATGGAGAGCAATTAGAAATGGTCTCAGACTTTAACTACCTAGGAACTGTCATAGAAAGATCGGGGAAAGTGGACTTAGAAACATCCAATAGAATAAGCAAAGCAAATGTAGTCTACTATTATATTTTCAACACCGTTATAGGAAAGTGAGGTAGAAAAGAACGTTAAGCTCCATATATTTAAATCTGTGTACCAGTCAATACTACTACACAGGCAAAAGAGCAGAGTCACTGCTGCTGAAATGAAATATCTGTGAAGAACAGTCGGTAAGACTAGAAGGGACCGGTTTCGTAATGAAAGTATACGCCAGGAGGTGGGGGTCGCCTCATTGAAGGAGGTTCTGCAAATCCGCCAATTGAAATGGTTTGGCCATGTGATTAGGATAGAGGAACATAGGGACCCATTGAAGGCAATGGACTACACTCCGGACGGCAAAAGACCTTGAGGAAGCCCAAGAATGTCATATCTGGAGTACATCGATAGACTCCGCAAGAGCCAGGAACCTAGCAAAGAACAGAGAGGAGTGGAGTTCGTGGCTGCTCACTCCCACCAAGGGAAGCCACCAAGGAAAAACTTTTTACAGCCAAAAAAGTCAGATTTTTCTGATATTTTTTTCCTATAAATCCCAAACAATGCATCAAAACGAAAAATGTACTCTTTAGGAAATCACTGAACGTTAAATTGTGCGTCTAACCAATACATAAACTTAATAATATGATTATATGGTAAGGTTTAAAACCACGGTCAAACAACACTGATTTCTATCAAATTTGTCTCATGAATCAGATGTTAATTTGTCAAAAACTGAGTCAATTTACTATAAATGGCTCCCCAAGAGGAAAATCCCATAGAATTAAAGTTGTGAAGGATTAAATTTTGCGTCCACTGAGTACCAACTATTTTGATGTATGAGGTCACCTGCGTTAGCAATTTTGTTTTTTACATGTCTAAATCCATATATATAAGTTAAAAAAATAAAAACTCTTCTCGCAATTGATTTCCCGTTTCAATCCTCAAGTTACTGGTCTAATATTCTTCAGCCACCATTTTTGAAAGCAACAGCTCTAGAATGGCAGACAAGGTTCAATTTACTTAGAATAACATACACTTTTGTAATTTACAATCAAAGCTTCGCCTGCGATGAGGTCGATTTTTGTGCCCTGGCTCCAGGGCTATAAGATGACTCATTTTGTAACTAGCAACCACTGATGGTTCTTTATGAACATTAACATTTATACCGTTAATGCAGTTGTTATATTTTGTTATATTACAGAGTATAATTTTTTAGATACAACTTTTCCTATTTCACTGATTTTTTAAAGATTTTCTCCTACAGTTTCTATAATTTCAATTTGTCTATTAAGTGACAAATTTCAAGATTCTAACTGAGTTCATGTTTGCGGAAAATTTGACAAATGTCAAACCAGATATTATTGATGCTGAATTCATGATAGTCTACGATTCACTTTAAAGTCGGAAGGTATACTGAAGGACTTAAGAAAGAGAGAGAATTTAAATCAAAACAAGGAAGGCAGTTTTTTTTTTTATTGAATTACTTCAGGCAAGTTCTATTCCAAGAATAGTCTGTCTGCCATTGCGTTTACTTCGTCCTTTTGTAACGTTAAATTTGAATCTTTGCCAGTCACAGAGTCATTTACCTTCCTTATATTTTTCTTTATAAAATATTAAATTTAATATGGACAAGATAGTAAAATAAAAAAGTAAATATTTACACACACACATATATATTCATATTTATAAATCATTTAATTTATCACAAAATGTGCAATTTAACTCAACAAAAATCAAAATCGTGCAATTTAAGCCAAAAATGGCAAAACATGCAATTTTGTGCAAAATAAAATTTAATTGTATTATTCTACAAATCCTGAAACGGATAGATATTCAGGTCCGGGTTTTTACATGCAAGCGAATAAAATGTGCAATAACTTGAAAATCCGGTCTCTACAGATAACCAATGTCTATTATAATATATTTTTTGTTGCTTTTCTAAAAATTATGAAAATATCACTTAGGTCATTTCTGTAATAACTTATTCAAATATGTTAAACACAGATTTTTACTAATAATTTAAATTATATAATTTCATGTTTAACGCTCATTAAAATAGCTATAAATCAAGTACCATGTAGCGTGTTGCAGTTAGAACCTTCTCAAACCAATAACTTTTAAAAGTTGTCAGTAGATAGAACTATGCCACACTAGTTTCTTTATTTTTCAACTGTTAGCACAAAATTCATTTTGAACATACGTAACATTGTTGAGAGTGATTTCTGAGTGTAAATGCAATTTGCAGAAATTTGTTAGTTAGAACCTTTTCAAACCAAGGCCAGGAATTGTCAAAGAAATCTACAAGGGATGCAAATAAATCAGTATTTCGCTGAATCTGATCAATGAAAGTAATACTTGGTTGAAGGGAAATTTACGGAAAAAGCTGAGGATGATGAAGGGCCAGGAAATTAATTTTACTAAGGAGGGTAGAAGAATTGATACTTCCATTAATTAATTTTTTTTTTATTTCTTAATGACATTTACAACTGTGTTACATAAACACACATCTAGTAAATTTGGACATAATAGATATAATGACATGAATACACTTGCTGAGTAACTACCCAATGGTAGCACTCTAATGATATGACTACATTAGGAGATCACGGGGCCATCTTCTTTTCAGATGCCTCGGAGGGTTATCATGAATTGAAGAGGAAGCAAGGTTAGAAATGAGAGGGTCGGGATGATTCTGAAGTTTATTATGGAAGGATAGGTATCTGGATTGGGCCAGATCTGAAACATTAATTTAAAGAAGAAAACTACATATTTTTTTTTTATATTCCTATGAGTTAGAGAATAAATATTTATATTGATATTCATATTTCAAAATTACTGGTTTTTCGAAAATGTTTATAATATTTATGAAAATATCAACTCTCAATAGTATCAATATTTCAAGTCTGAAATTTTGATGGTATCGATAGTTATAGACCGATATTTCTTGAGTTATTGAGCTTTCAATACGCCATCCCTAATATAACCACATCTTATGAAAAAAATATCTCTAAAAGAATTATTAGAGGAAGGAGATGGTCCGGGACGGTCATAAATAGACTAAAATAGTGGCAAAACTATTTTATTTCAAGCCTGAAACAAAATAGTTTTGCCACTATTATAGTCTATTTATGACCGTCATCCCGGACCATCTCCTTCCTCTAAAATACAACGGTCAATTATTAAGTATTCAATATGACTCTAAAAGAATTATTGTTCGTGTGATTAAATTTTTAAAAGAACTTCACGAATCACTTAAACAACATTTCATATAGTTAGTTAGTTTCTATCTTTTTTATCGTTATATATATATTGCAGCATCCCTCTTATATCTTACAAATAATAATTGGTTTAATAATAAAAAAAATTATAAGAGAATTAATATATTTATTTAACTCAGGTGTGGGTTACTGACAATCAGATCAACTCAGATAAACTATTATTATTCACACTATTTATACTAAAATTAAATACTGATTTTAAAATAAAGTCAAGTATGAATTGACAAGCTAACCTTTTTTCTATATACACTGTTTCTTCCTTTGTTGCACTAAATTTATTTGTCTTCAAATGCTTTCCAATGTTCTGCCAAACAAAACTTCCAAAATGGTAATAGTATTACTGGGTTTTACCCACTGGTGCCAGGTCCCTTCTATCCTCACTTCACTCCAGCCAAACATCAACTTGCCAAAATAAATCCTTTGTTCCCATCCCTTTTTTGGGATTTTCCTTTCAGGGGAACTACAGAGCAGTCATTTTCTTTTCCCTGAACTAGTAGAACTAGATTAGCTTGCCTTTTAACTGTTGAATATTAATTTATCAAATCATTTTTACCTACTTCCAATAAAAGTATACATTACAATATATATATATATATATAGTTCTGATATTTAAAAAAATTAATAATATTTTATATTATAATAGTTTATGTGGACATGAGGGCTTAGCTGGTTCGTGGACTGTGAATGGTATAGCATCCAATAAACTACATCGGTATATTAATTATTATATTTAAATTAAAAACAAATTCTATAACGACAATTATTTTACAAATAAAAAAGATAAATTACTATTGTTATTTTTATTGCTTCTTGATTCAGTCTCAGTGGTAGATCTGATCACACATGGCTTATACTGCCAGTCTTGAGTTGAAATAACTGATACATTCACTTGAAACTGGTCTTCAAATATGGTTATTTGAGCATTTCCTTCTATTTTTGGATTGGATTCTATATGGCATAAAGCCAACCCCAATAAACCTGGCCTGACTCTGGGAAACATGTTTACATGAGACATGTTTACTCGACTCTGGCAAGGAAAGACAGGTGCATCTCGACCTACAGCCAAATGAAGACTGGGATATGTTCACTGGATGGAGATCCGGCACAAACAGACAATTCGTCCTTGAGACGAGAGTGGGGGTTCGGTCCTTTCCTCCAATATATTTCTAACTCCAACATGTATATTTGAATTTGAATCTTTGATAAATAAAATCATAACAATATATACATACATATAAACATTTCGAGCTGAACTCTCCTTCCCTCCAAAATTAAATCCTGGATCCACTAGTGATAGCCTTATTATGATTAAAGATATTATTGGTTTAATTATTATAATTAACAACTTACATTATTTATTTCATGAGTTAAAAGAACAGGCAATGTGAGGGTGGTAACATCATATGAACAAGCAGATTTCATAATATTGCGTAAACCAAGTATCACAGGATGCCGCGATGTTATGTCATCTGTAAAAGTTAAACATAACCAAAATAAATCATACTCTAAAGCAAATAACATATTTTAATAGGACATATATATAAAATAAGTAACACACTTCTGCTATTAAAACATATTTACTATTGCATAGCTATCCCAAGTAACTCTTAAATGTAAAGTAGTAAGAAAATATCAAGGTTTTCCTAATCATAGTCAGATAACAAGGTAAAATTACAAATTTAAACTCATAACAAATGGATAATAAATCGATATAGGAATGCATGATTTTGTCACTATTATCAGTATTCATTAAAAATGTTGGTACCTGGAGCTTCTATAATTGTAAATAATATTTTATTAAATTTTAGTAGTCATTTCATGTTATTATTTTCTGTTATCAAATTTACTTAATGTATTTAATTTTTTAATACAGTTGTAAATATCATGAATAAATAAAAAATTTTAAAAAAATTTTAGTAATAAAAATCTACTTCACATTTGTTTATTCCAAGTAATAAAATATTAAAAAATAATTATACAGGGGTTTTAGGATTAAGTGGCCAAACTGCAAAAATGAACTAAGGACCTCAAAATTAAAAAAATAGTTTAGGAGATATTCACACCTAAAGATTTTCATTGTAATGAATTATTTACGATATATGAAATAAATAAAACCTATTTATTTGTTCTAACTACTTTATTAATTAAATGTAAACATTAACATTCATTCTTCTTTTTCTGAGAAGCTATATGATATTCTTTGTTTTTGGCTATGATAACTTCCAAATATACAATTGATTTATTTGTTAAATTTACATGTTAATGTTTCAGGAAATTTACTCTGATCTTCAGAACTTACAATCCCATATTTTCTTATCGATTCATGGCTAAAGACTGATGTGCTCCTTAGTGATATTTTAAATTTATGTTGTAGATAAATTACAGTTATAATATCTAGAGCTTTAACATTCCTGTAGACCAATAATTGGGTGTCTGCTATGGGGGATTAGAATAATGAAAAGTATCCCCCATAGCAGACACCCAATTATTGGTCTATAGGAATATTGATGCTCTAGATATTGTAACTGTAATTTATGTATGACATAAATTTAAAACATGGCAAAGGAGCACATCAGACTTTGGCCATGAATCGATAAGAAAATATGGGATTGTAAGTTTTGAAGATCGGAGTAAATTTCCTGAAACGGTAACATGTAAATTCAACAAATAACTAACTAACTCCATGGCGCTACAGACTGGTGTGGTCCTTGGCCGCCTTAATGAGCCCTCATCAGATGGCTCTATTTTGCGCAGTCGCCAGTTGCGGGTATGCAATACTTCTCTGGCGTCATCCCGTCTTAGATGTGGTCTGCCTTTCCCTCTTGTCCAGCAGAGCTTCCCATCAAGCAACTTCCTTGGTACTTCTTCTTCTGGTATTCTGGCCACATGGCCAGCCCAACGTAGTTGCTCAAGCTTGATGCACCTCAACACATCTGTCTCCCCACACAGATCATATAGGCCTCTGTTAGTCCTCCTTCTCCAATCATCACTGACCTTAACAGGTCTAAAGATACGCCGAAGGATCTTCCTTTCAAAGATTAGTAAATCTTTTACTTCTTTGCTAGAGAGGTCTAGCTTTCCAATCCATATGTGAGAACAGGCCTAATGAATGTCTTATATATAAGGCATTTTGTATGACGGGAGATGGCAGAGCTTCCAAGATATCCAATAGGCCAAAATAGCTCCTGTTTGCCCTTTTTATTCGCTGGTTGACCTCCAGGGATATTCTATTTCCACACCTTACAATAGCTCCCAGATAGGTAAACTGGTCTACATTGTGGAATGTAAATGGGCCCATAACCACCGGTACTCATACTGCGGTCTCTGTTTCAGGCCCTGCTTACATATACATTGCCTTTTCCTGGTTTACATTCATTCCCGAAGCTTCTGACGCTTCAGCCAACCTTAAAAAAGCACTTTTAAGAGATTCGCAGGAATGTACCATCAGATCTAGATTGTCAGCAAATTCCAGTATTTGTGTTTATCTGTTTAAGATAGTTTCGATAGTCTGGATCCCCGAGTCACGTATCACCTTCTCCAGGGCCAGGTCAAACACTAGGCAGGCAAGCCTATCCCCTCCCTAATTCCTCGCATGGAAACAAATTCAGGTGACAGGTCTGATTGTACCTGAACAGTGCAACTAGCATTATCCATAGTCATCTTGATGAGGTGGACAAGTTTCAGGGAAACTACAAGGTCACACAAGGCTGCATACAGTTGAGCATCTCTTGATGCTGTCACATGCACTGCGGAAGTCAATAAACAGGTTATGGGTTATCATCCAGTACTCTTGAGTACAGGATCTCATCCTCATGGGTATTCCATTTCATTTGCTTCGTCTTAAGCAAGATCTCCGAATTTCCACCATTTTGGGGAAACAATTTGTTTGATTGTTATTTATTAAATTATTACCCATTCTCATAAATGTAAACTCAGGGTCTTTTTTTTATGACAATTATAATTATACATTTGTAAATGGGAATGTAAAGGCGATGTATAGATATTTTATTCAATGCATAGAATATTTTTTTCTAATGAAAATTCAAAATACTTAGGAATAATTCAATATACAGAGATAATATAGTATTTCAATATCCACTGTAAATTAAAATAATCTCTAGAGAAGTATAATTTAAAAATTATAACGTAATTAAAAATAAAATTTAAGTGAATATATTTCGAAGACATCATACCACATTTATGGCATGACAAATGGTCAGAATGTGCAGTAAAAAAATTATGTTTATTGAGTTTGCCAATGTTTCGACCCAAACATATGGGTCATCAGGGCTAAATATTAGAAAAATAGAATAGAAGAAAGAAAGAAAAGAGATGAAACATACAAATGAGATAATGGTAATATAAACATAAAAATAATAAAAACATTACAATGCGCCAAGAAAATGTTTTCGTGTTACAAATAAAAGTACATAAAAAGTAAAAATAAATAAACCAAATAATTAGTAAAAATAAAATAATTCAATAGATAAGAAGTATGGGAAAACAAAGTACAGAAATAACTAAAAAAAAAAAAAAAAAAAAAAAAAAAAAAAAAAAAAAAAGAACATTACAAATTTATATATTTTCTTCAAATTACCAATGGTTTGAAGGGTGGTCCTTGTTCAGTTCTTGTCCGGCCTTTGTATACTAATTATCAGGTTTATTTATTTTAACTTTTTTTATAATTATATTTTTCTTTTATTTATAACACAAAAACATTTTTTAGCATATTGTAATGTTTTTATTATTGTTATGTTTATATTACCATTTCTCATCTGTATGTTTCACCAAATCTTTCTTCTTTTACCCAATCCTTCTTAAAATCCCATGACAATATCATTATAACCAGAGCTGATAAAGGCAACAAAACTGTAATTATGGATCATACAGAATATACAGACAAAATGACCTTATTCCTATCAGACCGTTCCACTTACTCTCCCACATCATGTGACCCAACCCCATTACTAAAAACCAAATTTAACCTGCACATAAAAAATCTTTTAAATTCTAAACTTATAAACTATCCTACTTACAGAAACCTGATTTCCTACTTCTGAGTTTCTCCTCCCCCGTTTTTATGGACTTCCTAAAATCCACAAACCTGGCACATCCCTCCGTCCTATCACTTCCAATATCAATTCTCCTTCAGTCAAACGTAGCAAATTCTTACTACCTTCCTTACAAATTCTTAGTCACAACAAATCTTACAATGTACACAATTAATGCACTTAGTATAATAGATGACAATTGACCTATCATTGAACCCCACACCTCACTTAATCGCTCTTCATATCTCGAATACCTTCATCTATGTTGTAAATCAGGCTATCTCACCTTCCAAGGACAATTTTTTAACCAAATTTCTGGACTAGCAATGGGCAACCCTCTCACTTCCGACGTCTCCAACATTATTCTTAACGACCTTCTTTCGATACATTCTTTCGATATCCTATCAGCCTTCAATTTTTACCACCCCCGCCTCAATTCTACAGTAGAACGCAAAATAGGTAACTCTCTCTTTTCTCGATCTTCTCATCATAAGGAATCCTAACAACACCATATCCACAGACTGGTACACTAAACCAACTTACACAGGCAGACTTTTGAATTTCCATTGCAAACATCCTTACTACCAAAAAATTAATGTTGCTAAAAATCTCATCCACCGAAGTCTCTCCCTCTCTGATCCCCAATTTCATGTAACCAATATCCAACATATAAAACAGATCCTTTCAAATAATAATTTTCCTATCCATGTCATCAACAAACTTATAACCAATCACAAAAATCGCTCTTCCTCAATCTCGGCCTCCATAACCCATTTTAGCCTCCATATAAAAATCACTACCTGATATTCCTAATCTTTCTGACAACATAAACAAAGTTTTACGATCTACTAACTCTAACTTATGACTTGTCTTCAAATCTCATAACACACTTTCAAATTTGTACACATCCTTAAAAGATTCCGTTCCTCTTTCACACCGCTCTCATATCGTTTACCGTATTCCGTGTTCCACCCCTAATTGTTTTTGATCTTATATTGGTGAAACCAAAAATCTTCTAATAGACCACATCACCCAACATTAATATTCTGTATCCTCTCGTAATTTTACCGCCTCCAAATTATCCGAACATTCTCTCTCCCTAAACCATACATTTGATTTCAACAAAACTTCCATTCTTGCCTCTGTCCCTAACCATGACAAATGACTGATCTCTAAAACCCTCCACATTCAGCTCCAACATAAGACAGTGAATCTAAAAACAGACAAACAAAAGTTTTCCTTAGCCTATTCTCAAATTCTGAATTTATTTAAACATCCATAGCAATCTCCTTTTCCAAAATTTTCCATAACTTATCAAAACTTTCTACATAGATACATAGAATACATACATAGATTGGTACTTCATTTTTTTATTAATAGACTTTATAATTTTATCATACTATATTTTCCTTGTTTTGTGCTAAAGTACATTATATTTCCCCTAAATTTTTAATTCCTTTTCGTTTTTGCTTTCTGTCATCACGTTTTCCACTTATATCATTTATATTCAATTGCCTCATAAATTTACCTACTCATTTCCGTTCAACCTCCGGTTTTCTTTTCTTTAATCTCATTACAGAAATTCCTTTTCTTTTATTTAATCTCACTTTTTACGTAAATCAGGTACTCTATTATAAATAAATATTTATAATATATCTCTCATCCATCACATTAGTTCATTTTTCGGTCAGAGAGGGCGCCATCTGCCAGCTCCCTCTCTCCCGCTATAAGTGCGTTTGTCTAACTTTACTTCTTCTACAGCAGGTTTATTTATTTTTATTATCTTATTCTCCTTTTCTTCGACCTTTCCGTCACTCTATTTTCCATATCTCAATCTCTATTTTCCATATCTCCATCCTCTATTTTCTATGTATGATACATTTCCTCATACATTTTTTTTTACATTATATTTTTGATAGATTTTACAATATCTTAATGTTGTATTTATATCTATTATTTCCTTATATAACTTCATATTTCTTTTCTCTGTTTTATACTTTATTCTAGATTACCATTTTCATTTATTATGTTACCTTATATTTTATTATGCTCATTTCATTGGTCCATGCTTTGTAACAATTATTATTATTTATTTAATAGTTCTCTGTTACTGTTATCATTCTACCTACTTTGTTTTAGTTTAATGTTTATTCTATCTAATTTTACATTTAATTGTTGTACTAAAAATGATTAGTCTTTACCTATCACCCTTTTTTTTTTTAATCTTAATTCTATATTATTCAATGTCATTATACCTATTGTTATTTGGTTCTTTTCCCAGCCCTGATGAAGCCCTTTACTTCAGACCGAAACGTCGGCAATAAATAAAATTGCTTATTTTTTACCATTTAAATTTGACCGAACACCCCAACAATCCTTCTCTTCAATCTTTCTTCTTTTATTTACATACTTTTATATTTATCATTTTTCTGATGTAATTTTGTATTTTTTAATTTTTAGACCTTTTGATAACCCATATGTTTGGTTTGAAACATCGGCAAACTCAATAATCATCATTTTTTGAGAGCACCTCCTGACCATTTTTGATACTTAAGATTTCAACAGTCAACTAAACATCCATTTCTACATACCTGATTTAACTGTATCATCCACAACTATATGATAAACCACATGAACTTCAGATAAATTAGAGTGCTTAGTAATAAAAACGTCTCCTGTTTGCAAGTATCGTGTACTACTTTTTCGCAACTGAAAAAATATACAATAAATCGAAATTAATTTTTTTAATAAACATTAGCAACCATATTAAAGGCAAGTAAAAAATTAAAAGTATCACAACAATAAATGAAAGATATGAAAACAATATTATTGCTCTCAGATTTTTCTCACTAATAATACTTTAAAAACTATTTTTTACATAAAAAATAAATATTTTTTAAAAAACAACCAGAAAAATACCCCAACTCAATAAGCATCAAATAAACGAACAGTGAAAATGTACGGTTCAAATATCCACTGAAACCTTTCAGTAGAATTTTCTGACTTTTCCAGGTCATGTTAAGAAGAATTACAGGCTATCAAAAATAGTTCTAATAGGGTAGGATAAATGCATGCACGCACACCCCCTCTTCCCTACCCCTCCCCCCACATGTATATATTAATAAAATATATATTCTTTTTTTTTTAATTATTAAAAAACATTCAAAGATTGCTTACAAAAGGCAATATACACAATTCTTTCTAATCTCATTTATAATGAAATTTCTTAGTTACATGACAATTCTCTTCTGGCTGATCCCTTAATTACCCAATTTCAAGAGAGTTATAGGTTGAAACTAGTGGTGATAAAACTAAATAGTTATGAAACTGTAAATTTTATTTTAATTAGAATTTAATTTTATATCTTTCAAGATTTTTTTTTTAATTTATAAAGATCAAGTGGTATCTTTGATAAAGAAGTTGTATGTCTTCATAAGATATTCTAATTCCCAATATTACACACAGATTGAAAATTCAGTCTATTATGCTTCTACATTACATGAATCCGCATTGATTCAAGCTACTTCTTCATCCAAAATGAAGCAGAGCTGATGGAATAGGATATTTGAGAAAGTATTGCATATTATAGTATTTTATTAATACTATTAAATAAATTTTAATTAATATTGCTATAAGAATTTTAATGAGAAAAAGATGTAAGATTTGCATATCTTTTTAATAAATGCGTGAAGTACACCTTTATCACTAGATTTATATTTAAAATTATATTTATACAAAAACGGAATTCAAACCAATAAAAAAGGATTAATAAATCTGAATTCCATAGTAATTTATTGCACATCTTATATTAGGAAAGTATAGTTGAAAATAAACGAAAATTTTAATCCTTGTACAACCACACCAGCTAAGAAAAGAAAACTATAGAGCAATTATGAAAACTACCTGCTGTTCCATTGAAGTAAGAATATTAGAATCTAAAACTTTGTTACACCTTCGCCATTCTATGCCAGCTTTTACTGACTCACGAATACTATCAATCTGCTCCTCAGCACTGTTAAAATGCAGTTCAGTTGATGTTTCACATTCTCTAATGAAATCTGAAAATAAAACCATGTTATATGTAGATGGAAATTTAAATCTCATCATATAACATATTGATAAATGTTATTAGAAGGATAGTAAAGGTTGGAAAACAAAATGGAAGGATTATTCAGAATAATGGGACAAGGTTAATGCTATATAATTTCAAATATCTTGAAGCTAGCTCACCTCACCAAGAAGTGATAAGAGATTTGGAAATCTGAAAAAAAAATTCATTTAGCTGAGCTTCTAACATGCCATCAAATAAGGTCTTCTCAATAGAAGGATGTCTTCAAACAGAGAATGACAGCTGTTTATTAAAACAATGTTTCTCCCCATCATTTACTGCTATAGTGGATCATGGACACTGATGATCAGGACAATCCAATCAACTAAAATGCGTTCTCTGAGAAATTTATATGAGAGAACTTAAAAATGTTAAGCCAGAAATAGGATAACTATATGTAGTTCCCATAAGGGTACTTGTAAAAGGACTGCAGCTACAATGCTTCAATGACTCACCGTTTTTCAAGGGCGGATAGGGGTGGTAGAAACCACATTTATTTCTATTTAATATTTATAATTGTATTTCTGTCTGTTCCAGAAGGGAAACACTCTACTTAAAAATATATCAATTATGTATTTAAAGGCTTGATACCACAGACCCCCTGCTGTAGCATCCTAGATTTAAGCTTAATTTCCATAGAATATCTTTCCATAAGACGTCATGTTTACAATTTACTGTTTGTAACTGTATCACTAAGTGGTGGCATGCAAGGATATATTCTAAAGAATCAATATTTAATCAAAATAGGATTTATTTATAAATTTAAAAACTATATACACTTGAAAAATCATTATTGGAGAATGCTAGAGAAAAACTATTAAGTTATTGATTGCCAAACACAAGTTTATACAATTGCTATCTAAATGAGTATTATGACTTTGCTGTTATTTTTACTGACAGCTGGTGGAATGGTCTGCTACACCGATGTCCTCTAGATCATATACATCTTCTTTCCAGAATAATCTGTATACTTACTCATATCTCAACTCCAAAGAAATCTCTCAAGACTTGACCTTTTCTCTTCAGGTCATCTCCTCCAGAACTGTACTGTAGCTCAGGCTGTCTCTAAATCTGTGTCCACCCTGGACTTCTATGTACCACTCTTCCAGAGCCTCATTCTGACTGTTGTATCTACCCTGACCATACATTAGGTTTATCTTTATTACACCCAATTGCAGACAGTGCATCGAAAGCCCGCTGGCCTCTTTTGGGTCTAGGACCTTAACTGACACTCACCTGAGGGACTTGTGTCGGCATGAAAATCTTTTTTTATTAGGCAAAGTCTATTTATATTGGGTTGACAAATATGTCCTTTCGGTTTTTCAGGGTGAAATAAAACTCAATGTATTATAGACATAAAAATAATTTTAATCTATAATATATTGACCATTATTATGACTTTTTCTCATCTTCCCACTAACTGCATAATGCCATGTTCATAGAATGTCTGGAGTTTATTGTTAAAAAACTGACCCAAGTGGTTTTTGATGTCCTCTTCCTTTTGGAATTTCTTTCCATTCATGGAGTTCTGCAGAGACTGGAATAAGTGGAAGTCACTTGGAACTAGATCTGGTGAATAGGGAGGGTGGGGCGAAAGGTCCCATCCAAGGCTCAATAATTTATTGTGAGTTCCAATGAGATTAACCCTAAGTTTGGACAGAAAATGAGTCTGATTTCATTAACAATATTAAATAAATAAATTTGAATTTGAGTAGGGAGTACTTCCTGAAGAACAATTAAAAGTTGATCATGTAAGTTATTGGTTTAAAGAATGTAGGAAAATCGTCTTTGATTCTGCTGTGATAGTTAGGATCATTCCAGATACCTGGATAATAAAGTGGAGGAAAACAGTTCGGCATGGTAGTTCCAAATGTGCCATGTGCATCTAGAATTCAAATACAACGAAGAATTTATTATGCTAATTGGGAATTGCTACACATCACGTACAGCGTGGAGGGAGGTACACAACCATTTAGTTCTTTTTAATAATTTCTGCTATCTATAACTTTTGAGTCAGTGAAGCTAAGATGTTCAATAAAATTCTTCCATGACAATTAAATATAGAGAACTAAAAAACTTCATGTTGTTCAAGAATGACTATAACATTCTTTCAAACAAATTTCCGATTGTATCAACAAAGTAACATTATGCAGAAAGCAGAGTCTGTGACACAGCCAAGCCCCTAATGGAGCCAATGCTCCAATCTTATTTTTTTTTTCTTTCTTATTATTAATGCAAATGTTATTATTTATTTATTTACTTTTAAGACACAAGTTACTATATGCCACTTTTTTTACTTCTGAAGGTGGAAATTGATGATTATTCCTAATGGAGCAATAGAACAGAGAAGTAGAGTAATTAGAAGGACCCAAATGATGACATTACCCAACTAACTTCACCTGCAATTAATTCTATAGTCAACAATACCTCCACCAAAAAAATAAATAATTTATAAGTCAACCTTTTGTAATCCCAGAAAATCCTCCAAGATGATTGTCAGATAAAAGTACTAAACCGCACAGATCACTTGAGTAAAGGCCAAGAGATGTTTGGAGCCTTTGAGGTTGAGGTTCCATATCCCTGAAATTAAATAGCTACTATATCTCAAAAAACTCACAACATATAAATGTATTTATAATGGAAAAAGTGATATAATTTAATGTGTATAAGTTTTTTTTTCACATTGTACATCAAAATATTGTTTTGACACAACTTTAAAGCAATATTGATAATTTTTAGAAAGAAAGAAAAGTAAATTTTATTTTATTCTGGGACATTCAGTCCCCTAAGAATAATTACAGTGAACAATTTGGTGACAATAGTCTGACATAAGATGATCAAGAATTAATTAAATTACATGGTTATCAAGCCTTGAAATTAAAAAGGCACAAGTTAACATTTGAATTATAGATAGATATTTATGAGCATGTCCACATTTAGACTATAGATAATATATATAGGTATCAGGAAGATAACGGCAAAATGAGATTGACATCTCTTCTTGCATACGGAAGTAGGTAGGGAATTCCAAAACAAGGTAGCACGTATGAGAAAGGATTTTTAAAGGAAACAGTTCTATGAGAAGGAATAAAAAGGTTTGTGGGATGGGATCTCGTGTTGAACAAATGGACCAAGGAGCAAGGAGTAAACATATCAAGAAGATAAGCAGGTTTTTTGGTTGTAAAGGTTCGTTAAAGAAAAACACCAAGGAGTATTGCCTTCAGAAAACTGGATAGAGCCACTTCAACTCCGCATACCAATTGGAGAAGTGGGAGTGTCTGAGGGCTCTAAAGATGAATCTATTGATGCAATTCTAATCTAATGTAATATTTTTTGAACTCTACTATTATTCTAAGAGGACTTCAGTAACAGAATAAAATTATTTTTCATTTTATTTCAATTCATCAGTCTTCTCAATCAGATCTCAAGCCTTCCACACAGTCAAACATATACAAGACAGCCATAATCGAAATAAGGAAACTAAGAGCTAACGGATCTTTAGGGGCATAGAATCACGGAATCTCAGGAACTGTTTTAAGGTTGCAATAGATTTTTGGATAATTTGGGAAATATGATTATTCCAGGAGAGGTATTGATAAAAAATTACCCCCAGATTTGTTACGGAAGTATGAAAATGAATAGGTAGACCATTGAGGTAGAGTAGGAGATAATAAAGAATGGAATTGATGAGATGCTTGGAACCAATGAGAATAGCTTTAGTCTTCTCCAGGTCCAACTTTAAATCATTGGTGGCTCCTTAAGTGTTAATACTAGTTTTAATACCTTATTTCCTTTATATAATATATGTAAATATTTTCTATAACTTCATATCCCTTTACTATGTTTTACATTTTATTATATATCAATCTCGCTTCCTTTTAGCATACTAATGGTGGTATATATAGTCGTACCTTATACTCCACTATTCCCGTATCATCCCTAAAATGCTGGTGGTCAGAGTTCACCCTTTCAACTTTCCTTCTACTATAGAGGACATTTAGGGGAGATTGAGGGCTCTTCATCATTCCCAAAACTCTTCCCACTCACTACAACTTATATTTCACTGATAGAAAATGTAATTATTGTGTTATTATTATTATTATTGCTATTATTATACTTCTAAAATTATTATTATTGCTATTATTATGCTTCTAAAATTACTATTTTTTTTTTATTATTGATCTGATTTTATTATTGATCTTGATCTGAACTCTCCATTTGAGGTAGGTTCTTTTAAGTTTGAGAGAGTGAAAAGTTTCATATACCTTGGGTCTGAAATCAATAGCAAGAATGACATGGCTCAAGAAATACAAAGAAGGATCACGGCTGCCAATAGATGTGTCTTTGGACTTGGCCGACACTTAAGAAGTAGGTACCTCTCAAAGAAGACCAAGCTGATCATATACAAGACCCTTGTTCGGCCTGTTTTGACATATGGCTCAGAGGCTTGGACGATGACCAAAAGGGATGAGATGAAGCTGAGTGTCTTTGAGCGAGGAGTCCTCAGAAGGATTTATGGTCCAGTAAAGGAGGGTGATGTCTGGAGGAAAAGAAAAAATAGGGAGCTCAGTTCTCTCTATGCAGACATCGACGTAGTCACGTATATTAAACTGGCCAGACTAAGGTGGGCAGGGCATGTGGCCAGAATGAGCACCCTTGAAATACCAAAAAAAATAATGATGGAGGAGCTGCACCTCGTAAGACGGGTAGGAAGGCCGAGGACGAGATGGTTGGACAACGTGGCCTATGATGCGAGAACCCTGCTTGGTGTGCGGAATTGGAGAGCTGCAGCAGAAGATAGAGCCAACTGGCGGAGGCTCTTGGAGGAGGCCCAGTCTCGGTGACGGGATGTTGTGCCATACATGAATGAATGAATGAATACTTCTACCTAAATAAAATCTAGTGAAATGAAGCTTATTGGTTCAAACTACTTTCTGAGTATTTAAGAGGTAGGTTAAAAGCTAAAAATGAAAACTTTTATTGAGAACGTTATTTTCTTCACTCCACTTCATAGAATTAGTTTGATATTAGCTAAATAATGATATATAACTGCTTCTTCTTTTCTTCAACATTGGCACGAAACCATGTTAAAATATCGACTAAGTAAAGGAGGTAATAGGACTATTCAAATACATAATAAACTATTGTTATCTTTTTTTTTAATATTCTTATTATATAGATGAGTGATATAAAAAGAAAAATATTCTGTGGAGAGGAGTTGCAGTTCCTCAAATCTCTACTTCTTGAAAAAGCTGATATTATAGAAAATAAAGATACAGATACTGTTTCAAATATTAAAAAAAAGAAAAAGATTCTCTGATAGCTCTCCCTCTGTGTGTTTGTGGATGGGTTAATACATTTATAATGGGACCTATCTATTTCCTGGTCTTCATTCTCTAATTCAAATATCCATTTCAAATATTTTCAATCTTTCCAATATTGTGAAGAATTGCACAAGCAGCTATATACCTTTTTTTATGTTTTCTAGTTTATTCATATATTTTCTACTTAAAACATGGAAAACGTTTTTTCCAAATTCCAAAAATGTTTTCAATTTTAACTCTTGTATTTTTGTGGGAGATGTTATATCTCTTTCAGGAAGAGACGTTGGGTTGTGCTATGGGGTAAATAAATATGAGGTTTGGGGATACCCTGAATCACCCAGAAGAAAACCATTTAAAGTGCCTTGCTCTAGTCGTAAGTATTTCATGATTAGGTCCTCCCACAACCTGAACATTCAAAGGCATCCAGGCTTTTCGGTTTCGGAAAACCTTTGCATCAGGGCCTCCAGGACTCTTTATTGGAATATGGGTGCAATCAATACATCCAATGACATTCGGGAGTCCTGCTTTTTGATAGAATGTTTCTTTCAGTTGTTGGAATCCAAGACTATTTTCGGGGAATTTGATAAATTTTGGTAATTTCTTATTGATGTTTAGTAGTTCTATTAATGATATTTTTAAGCCATGATAAGACCACCAAAGAAAGAGAAGAAGGGAGAAAAGTTCACGCATGCTTAATCAAATTAAAAACTATTGATAGCAATGCGTCTTATAGGGAAAGGTTTTTTCAAAATAAGAGGGTCATACTATAAAATTAAAGAAGTAGATGACATAATCAATGAATCTGAAGCTGATATCCCCATATCGTTATCACAGGCGGGCCCACTGGAAACATCTGATGAAGAACAAACAAAAAAGAAAAGAAAAGCTGAAAATAGACTAGATAAGTTTAAATTTCCACCACATAGTTCATCAGTCTCAGCAATGGGTAAGTCGTTCTGACGGACCAAACTCATTTCCTCAGGTCTGATACCTGTTCACGATTCACTGAAAGGACTTGGTAAAACTATCTACTCCAATAATGTACAACAACATGGACATCATATTTTGTTTTGCAATATAAATGGTTTAAAAAATTTGTTTAAATTTACACTAAAAGAATGTGATACTATACGGCAGTATCTCATATTGTGTTTCGGGGAGACTTGGGTGATTAACGATAATTTCTCTTTACCTCTATGGTAGCATGATTATACACCTTTTAGCAGTAAAGCTGTCAAAGTAAACATAACAAGGTGTGGCAGCGGTGGTTTGCTAACCCTAGTTCATAGCTCCATTACTTCAAGAACAAGTATTGTATATGTCAACCGATACCGGCTTTTTGTCAATATTAAAATTAATAACAAATTATTATTAACTTAAATTATTATTATTAACAATTGGAAACATTTACTTGCCTCCTGTATGTGATATGGATACAATACTGGAAGATCTATGTAATACTATTACGGAATTACTGCTCAATTATTCAGACACTTGCTTGTTTATCAATGGTGACTTTAACAGTCATGTAGGTGACCTGAATTTCTTGGATGAAGAAATGTTATACAACTCAAATCTATATGCTACAAGGACGAACAGCCATAAACATGTTAACAGACGAGGAAAACAATTAGTGGAAGCGATGGAATCATTAGGTCTCACACTATGTAACGGCAGGACCCGGAATGTTTACATTTATTTCTAATGTTGGTAAAAGCACTATTGATCTAGTGTGGATCAACGATGTGGCACTCGAGATTTTAGGTGATATGGAAGTTATAGCCATGTCTGATTTTCAGGACCATTTAGCTTGTGCTACTACCGTTAAACCACATGTAAGCTTACCGAATTCTCGAACGTTTAATTATATTGGTATGCAAAACAATTGAAATGGGATGAGAACCTAAGCATATTATTCAAAACAAATTTAGCTTGCAGTGACAAAATTTACTATAATTCGCATGATGTAAACCAGCTCTACAAGAATTTCGTTGAATGCTTGCAGGAGAATATGTCTTCTACCGGCATGCTCGTGGTCAAAAAACCACCGAAGAATATAATGTTTCAGCCTAATCAACCCTGGTTTGACTCAGAGTGCAATAATCTGAAAAGGGAAGTTAGAAGAAAATATAGAGCATTAATTAAATTAAATTTTCCTCCTCAAGTGTTATAAGACTACATTCAAAAAAGGAATTCCTATAGAACATTAATTAGGAACAAGAAAAAAGAATTTAGATTTCAAATCATAAAAAATTT